TGGAATAAATTGCAGTTGCCTGTGATATGTCTTGAGCTGAGAAGCTGGAGGGCTGCTCCATGCAACCTCTTTACTTAGCCTTCAAATTTGCACAAAGCTTGGATAAGGGTTAGTACAGTGGTACCTCAGGTTAAGTATTCAATTTGTTCCGGAGGTCTGTTCTTAACCTGAAACTGTTCTTAACCTGAAGCACCACTTTAGCTAATGGGGCCTCCTGCTGCCGCTGCGCCGCCAAAGCACGATTTCTGTTCTTATCCAGAAGCAAAGTTCTTAACCTAAAGCATTATTTCTGGGTTAGCGGAGTGTGTAACCTGAAGCGTATGTAACCTGAAGTGTATGTAACCTGAGGTATCACTGTACAGGACTTAGCCAGAGCTCCATTTGCCTCGCCGCTTCCTCCCTGTGCAAACCCACCAATTAGCACCAAATCGGAACAAATGGCAATCGGGTTTTCCAGAGGAAAGTGGTGAGGCAAAAGAAAAACTGCTTGGACCTGTGCCCATTGACGGACCTACATTTTTGGGGCCTGAAGCTTGAACTGTCATGGAGGTCCCTTCACACCCAGCAACAAGGTCTGGGTAACCACTGTTTTCTGCTTCAATGGGGATATTCCACAACAGGTCACCACACCGTTATAATGTCTGTGCTACTGGCTCTCACACTCAATTTGACTCAAATCAATGCAACACAAATCAGGTCTACTAGACCCAATTTCTTATAGCAATGTGGCCAAAGTCTCTTCTGGGGGCCTTCTGGGATTCAGGGCCCTGAAGCTTATGCTTCACAAATTTCACAGTGGAGCCGCCTCTGCCTGTACCTATAAAAGCCCAGAGTCTTTATTGAGCTTTCATTCTGGTTTGTTTTCAGGTAGGTTATACAACAATGAGCAGTCACCTTCATTTGCTTGCATGGCATTTCTAAATCTTCCTGTTAATATTTTCTTTTATCCTACACTTCTCAGTGTGTTTCCTCACCACACTCCTAACTGCAAAATAATAGTAGTAATTTTTTTTTAAAAAAACTGTTTTGGTGTTTTTTAAGTGGAGTTGTTGCTCTAGGGCAGGGGTCAGCAAAGTTTATCTTGCCTGGGTTGGATCGGTCCCACGGAGATCCCTTTGTGGGCTGGATTGCACATGTGTGTGCAATTTTTGGCATCTGTGCATGCGCAGACACGATTTCCGGTGCCGCAGAAGCAGTGCTGCACTGGTTTAGCGCACCGCGCGAGTGAGCAGCTCAGTTCGGGGGCAGCTTGTAGGCCGGTCAAACGACCCCCGCTGGCCGCTTCTGGCCCATGGGCCTTAGGTTGCTGACTCCTGCTCTAGGGTGACAGATCACATCAATCCACTTTAATTGTGCAAACCTAAATCACCAGTCTCTGCTCAAACCTCTCCTGCAAAATACTGTCTGGAGGCAACCTGTGTTGAAAGCCTGCTGTTTTCTATTTAAAATGCGCTTGCCGTATTTCCTTGGACAATCACAACTGACAATTTTGTACTGGGGAATTATTATTATTTTGTTTGGGGTAGCTTGGCATTCATACGATTCCCCACCCCCACAGACAATTCATAGCGTCTTCTCAATGCTCACGGTAATAACATGTTTTCAATTTCAGCTGTGGCTGTTGCTGCTTTGCTTGAACAATACTGGAAGAGTACTGTAGTTGTCTCAATGTATCCTCCTGTCAGCTCTCCTGTATTGCATTTCATGTAACACATATGACATATGACACAAAATCCAACTATTTCTCAAATCCAAGTGACCGTGGCAGACATCTGAAGTGTCTGCAAGTGAAACAGCCACCCTCTTGGGAACGGATCATAACCCATACTTGAGTATAGACCTTTCTCTGTTAATTATCCCTGACTTTTTTGTGTGTGTTTGGGTCAGATAGCTACATAGGGCCCTATCCATTCATTGGCCATCCAACCCCCCTTATTTATTTATTTATTTATTTATTTATTTATTTATTTATTTATTTTAGTTAAAAAGGAAATATGTGTTCAGAATTTGAGGAAGTATTTTTCTTCTGAGTCAGTTTTGGATGTGTATTTAACCTATCTGGAGGCCATTGTGTTCCTCTCCATCACTCATGCAAAACCCCACATGCAGATGTGATAGGTGCATTCTTCTAAGGCTCCTTTTGTCTTTACAAATCCCTCATGCAGATAATGACTTCCTATCTCTATATCAAGCAAGCGCTGCTACTACTATCTCTCCTTTCTGGATCTGAATTGATCATACATTCTAACCATTTAGAATTTGACAAACATATTTGACAAACACTGCAGAATGTACCGTATTTTTCCGTGTACAACACGCCCCCATGTATAACTCTTGGAGATTGCCAAGAGTTGTTGATCTTTTTTTGGAGGGGATTGCCCTCAGTTTTGGAGCTTTTTTTGGGGAGGGGGTTGCATAAATTTGCTCACCCACCAGCCCAACACAAAGCCACCATTCGACTGCCCACTCACACTGCCCAATTGCCACAGCAGCAGCCTATCAACAGCAGCCCTGCCGCAGCCGCCTATCACCCACCCTGCCGCCACTGACAATCTCCTGCTCGCAGCAGCAGCCAATCACCAGTCAACACTCTGCACTATCCGTGTATAAGACGAGCCCAATTTTTAAACATATTTTTAAAAATGAAAACAGCTTGTCTTATACACGGAAAAGTACGGTAAATGTTTCCACTGGAAAATGGATGAAACAGCCCATTCCAAGCACTCTCTTTCTCTTTCAAACCTGATGGTCTATCGGTCAAGCTATCTCTAAAGATTAACCTGACTGGGGCAAGAATTCTATGCACAGTTACCTGGGAGTAAGTCTAATTGGTGAGTTAACATGCAGTGGAGAACCTACTCTACCTACGTCGGCTCTCCTGGCAATTCAGAATTCTGCGTAATCAGAAGTGGCTTAAGGGTGGTACTTCATAGATCAGACAGTTCATGGATCAGGTGAAGTCATTAACATGTGGGCCATATTAAATCCATTAGTCTACAGGTTTCACAAGACTCTTCTCTGAGTTGTTGTTTTTTTTACTCTGCTGAAATATATGTACAGAAATATTCCTTGGCATTTGTGCCAAGGCCTAGAGGTGAATCTTTGTTAACCTAATGAAGAGAAGGGTCTGGTAGTTAAGGAAAGGGCTGCTAATTTCAGTAACACTTAGCACACCTCATTTCAATTATTTATTAGTAGCCAATATTTTTTTTTTAAAGAATGGAAATGCCTAAATGCCTGAGTTTTTCTCCCTTTTTAAAGCAATTGGAATTTGCAGCCAACTGGTTTGTGTGATTGGCTGAGTATTTTAACATTTTGTGTTGGAAAAGAAATGTCACCAAATGAAACGAAACATCCAGCACAATACTCCACTGTTATCTAGATGAAAAAGAGTCCATAGTTATGAACAAGTCACCCCGCCCTGCGCCAGACACGGTTTCGGTGTTGGGCATAAATTAGTAACGGATCTGATTCCCACTTAAAATGTTGTCATGTTCTCAGCTTGGACAAAATCTGAATTGTTCAGTTTCACTTTGACGGCTTTTGTTGGATGAAAGTTGTTCAGAAGATGGCTGCCATCTTGGATCACACCAGCACTACTTGCTTCCAAAGGGGACAATGCCAGCCTCTGTGTAGCATAAACCACACTGTCAAGGTCTACTGGTTTTAAACTAGTCATCGATCTAAATCTGTAGTGAAATTATAAATGTTAAAATAGATATGCTGATGATTCATACATCATATGAACTAGCGCTGTGTTCAGACTCCCGTTTACTGAGCACTCCCTGCATTTCCAGGGCTGAGTTTTTAATCTGTGCTCACACTACACTATCAAAATGCAAATGTACCCTGTACACTATTATAAGAACTTATTTGATGCATTTTTTCTCAAACCAGCTTCACACAGATTAGAGTGTTCCTAATTAATCTGTAGCCAAAGTGTGAACACATTCACATAGGGTACAGGCATGTCCCTGGTGTGTACACAAACAGAAACAAATCTGACAACAATGAAGCCATGTTGGTGTGAACAGCTAGGTGGGAAAAAGTTTTGAAACTCACCAAAAACACACACAACTTCAATGAGCTCTAAAGTGGCAATGTGAACACACCCAATTAGTTTGGCCTCCAAAATCCTTCTCAAAAGTCTCCTGCAAAATTCTGCTGCTGAATATTCTCAGTATGCCCTTAGAGCTCTCAGGTGGATTCTGGGTATTGGTGTTTTTAAAGGGCACCAAAATATATATTTACTTTTTAGTACTTGATATCTGCAGTACAGTGGTACCTCGGGTTACATATGCGTCAGGTTACAGACGCTTCAGGTTACAGACTCCGCTAACCCAGAAATAGTACCTCGGGTTAAGAACTTTGCTTCAGGATGAGAACAGAAATCGTGTGGTGGCAGCGCGATGGCAGTGGAGGCCCCATTAGCTAAAGTGGTGCTTCAGGTTAAGAACAGTTTCAGGTTAAGAACGGACCTCCGGAATGAATTAAGTACTGAACCTGAGGTACCACTGTATTGGGAACTTGACATGGAGTGGTATTTAGTATTCTATGGTTTTGTTAGCTGATACACAATGCCACAGTGTTTTTTCTTCTGCAAACATTCTGTCTCATTTGAACATCCCTTCCCCTTCTCCCCTCCATAACTTAATGGCAATTTTTGGAACTCTCTTGTGTTTTGAGCCCACAGCCTAGTCCCTATAGCAGGATGGGGAACCTCAGCCCCAGTCTTTTTATTTGCACCTTGGGACTCTCTCCAGGCCACACTCTTGGGTGGGAATGTGTGCTTGAACTCAGATAATGCTTCTCTGCAGGGAGGATAGAGAAGAGTGTGCTAGCGTATGTAGAAACCAGAGTACTGTAGAAAGGTGAACTTTACAGTCATGGTTCTGCCCACTTTGGCCTCTGGGCGGCCCCCACTGTCATGTGCCCTTTGTGACAAGGCAGCCCCCTACTCCTGCCCTGTGGCATCATGCCACTTTGCCTTGGCCTTCTCAGCCAATCTGGCTCGTGAGCAAGCACTGGCTAAGTGCCTCACGGCAGTCTGGTTCAGTGTAAGGCAGTTTCTTTTGATTTTGTTTGGTAAACTCTCCCTCTCCTTTCCCCTTTCCTCTCTTCTTCTTCCTCTCCTCCTCCTCCTCCTCCTCCTCCTTTTGCATGCCCTAAAGCGGTTCAGATAACTCCACAGCCCCTTACCTACGAAAAGGCTGGCACAGGAAACAATACCGTGTTGTCTGTTTTGTACATCTCCAATTTATAGCCATCCTTTGAGAAAGGATATTGGGCCTCATCTCTGCCAAAAGGGCTTCGTAGAGCAAAACGTTATGATCCCCCCCACCCCCACCCCTGGTTCTTGAAACGCTTCAGCCAGGGTCTGTTTTCTTTCACTGTCACCTTCTACTCTGTTCTGCTTCGCCCCTCTCTTCTCCACTGTGCATCTGCCATGGATTGTGGCTCATATAAGCCCTGCGAGGTGTTTCGGGAAAGTGTGCTTTGATACATGGAAGCCTCCCCTTTTCTTCGTACACTCGAAAATGGAGCGGACTGTGCACAGCCGTCCAGTTGAGGGAGAGTGATTCCACCTTTCGCTGTGACACAGACACCATAGAGACAAAATGCAGACGCAAACTACGAGCCGTGGGAGTGGTTCATGCCACATACAACTCTTGGCTCACCTTTGATTATGATGTAACCAAGGATGGTTAACAATGGAATAGAGAATAAGGTCCATTTCAATGACTTAATTCAGATATATCAAGGGCTTTGGGGTGGGGGGAGATGAGAAGGGCCTTTTTGTTTTGGAGAGGGGGATAAATTCTGTAAGGGCATCCTGCGTCTTGTGGAATCAATTTATTGGGGCATGAGATTTTGTGGAGTAGAGCATAGAGCAACAAGGTAAAAGGTTACGACCAATCCAAAGCGACTATGGGGTTGTGGTGTTCATCTCGCTTTCAGGCCGAGGGAGCCAGCGTTTGACCACAGACAGCTTTCTGGGTCATGTGGCCAGCATGACTAAACTACTTCTGGCACAATGGGACACCGTGATGGAAGCCAGAGCGCACAGAAACTCCGTTTACGTTCCTATCGCAGCAGTACTTATTTATCTACTTGCGCTGGCATGCTTTCGAACTGCTCCAGTGAAAACAGGGACTTCTCCTCCTCCTCCTTCTCCTCCTCCTCCTTCTTCCCAGTTCTTTTTCTGGGGGTAATCAAGGGCAAACAATACCAGCACCATTTTTTCTAGAAGAAAAGCATAGATTACCATTATTATTATTTTACTATTTATACCCCACCCATCTGACTGGGTTGCCCCAGCTGCTCTGGGAGGCTTCCAATATATATAAAAGCATAATAAAACATTAAACATTTTAAAAAACCTTCCCTATACAGGACTCTCTTCAGATGGCTCAGGGGTTGGATAACTCCATAGCCTCTCACATTTCTCCACTTAAAATAGGGACATCCTAAGGCAAAGCAGGACATTCCAAGATCAAATACGAAACCAGGATGGCTTCCGTAAATCTGGGACTGTCCCTGGAAAATAGGGACACTTGGAGGGTCTTGTAGAGCCAACTTCATGAGTTCATCTGACACGGTGGACTCTAGTCCAGGAAAGCCTGTCTCACAACAACAACAGCAGCAGTAGCAGCAGCAGCACAACCCATAGTGAGTGGAAGAGGGATAACCAAAGACAGACCCTGAGCTGGCACAGTCAACTGGGCAGAAAGTTGGTGTCGGGTGGTTGTTCTCCATTCCCTTCCCCTTTGGGCCTTTATTTCACAGATTTTCTGGAAATCAATATGCCAACTCCAGGGCTGGCAAAAATCCCACCCCCTGCCCCATTCTGGGATATATGTCAGGACTCAACACTTCCCTTGATTTCTCCCTGGCATGGCTCTGGCATGCCCTCTTTTGTCAGCACAGCCACCAGAGTCCTGCCAGCCCAGAGCTGCAAAGGCATTGCCAATAACAGGAGGGCTTGTGAGGTCAAATCCCCCTCTTCATTTCCAGAGGCTTCCCCTTTGCAGTAGAATGGATGTCCCACTCTATTCTTTGACCCCCTGGGACACCTATAGAATTGCACCCTAAATCTATCGGTCTTTAAGGGGCCACAAAAACCTGTTGTTGTTTTCTTTTGGCAAAGGGGGTTCTGCTCAAATGTTGAGTTGTGCACTGAAGAATGCAGATGGTATGAATATTGTTTGGAAGTTGCTTTTCAACCTCAGAAGTTGAATACATCCCATTAGAGATATCATGTAACCAAAAGGCAGAATTAAAGAACGCCGACGAAAAAAATCTGGCAACAAACCGCCATCTACCATTGTTTCAATTATAAAGGCTATAGAGTTTCTTTTTGTTGTTGTTGTTGCTGTCATTCCATGCAGGAACTTGCTTTTTTAAAAAAATCAGCATGACGAACGAATGACATTTCAGGAAGACTGAAGCAATGAAGGACCTATATGACCCAGCCTCTGTACCGACCTGCTGATTTTCTTGACGAACAGTGACTGCATGAGATGGAAATAAGTCAACTAACTAGCAGGAGATAAATTGATACAATTACCAGTCTGGTTTTACACAAAGGAAGTAGGTCATAGAAGACCTGGTGCAAAGCCTGTTGAGGTCAATGGAAAATGAAATCACTGGGAATATTTTCCTAGACTTCAGCACAGCTTCAGGCTTCAGAACTCAAAATATTATTTTGTTGGCCAGTGTCAAATATCATCATAATTGAGATACATGAGGGGGGAAGGTTGGAGAGAAGGGAAATAATGACCTTTAGGTCTACACAGGAGAGTCGTGTTCCCTGTGATTGAAGGACGCCGGGAAGTAAATTGATATGTTATATTGGATTAAATGTTGATGGTGGAAGAGAGATACAGGCTAGCTTAGCTGGTGAAAAGTAACTGGAGTCTCAGGAGGAAAATGTGCCTCTCTTGGTACATAGAAATCTAACAGCACAACCAATCATAATTACACATTGGTCCAGCCCAAGGCATTCTGCTGCCTGAGGCAAAAGGTGAGATATTGCCCACTCCTATTCCATGGACAGAAGCCAACCTGACTGACAGTTCATTCTTTCTTAAACACTGGTAATGGGATGGAGTCCTCCACCACACCTGAGGTCAGTAGGCTAGCTTCACGGGCACAGGTCAGATCACATGCCATCACCTCATCACTTCTCCTTGTGCCTCAATTTGCCTAATAATGGCATGTATAACTGGGCCTTTACATTGGGTGAAATTAGTGGAGGAACATGACGGAAACTCTCTCTCTGTTGAGCCTTTTCTATATTTTATTTGATATTTTCTCCCAGCTCAGGACCCTAGGCAGCTCTCAGCATAAAGGAAAACAGATACAACTAAGAACACTCAAGAAATAAAAACAACAACAATTAAATAAGTAGCCCTATTAAAAACAGCACTGAAAATACTTAAAACTATTTAAAAGCACTGGAAGGGGAAAGAACAACACACATACCCTCAGAAGATCCTGCCACCAAGCCAGTTGGTGGCCAGAGGCCCATTGGAACAAAAATGGTATTTGCCTGCTGGTAAAGGGAAAGCAGGGGTAGCCTAGTCTCCCATGGAAGAGGAGAGATGATCAACAGCCATGTATACTGAACAAGAAATCTCTGGACCACAGCTGGAAAAGGCTGGAATTATTATTATTATTATTATTATTATACACATGTTTCTTCCTTCTTCTGTCTGTGCATCACCTATTGTTAGAACGCATAAAGAATTTCATGTCATGATGTAATCCAGGGTAATGTGTCCAAAACAATATTAGATTTATTCCATTTGCTATAAGAAAGATATCGCTAGAATTCTGCCTATTTGGCAAACCCTTTCCCCAGAGTTCCGGGCAACGTTTCAATCACCTGTTGCTACGATACTTTGAAAATATTGTCTGTTTTTAACTGCTCTATCTTTAATTGAATAAACTGTTACTTTGAAATATTGCTGTAGAGGTTAGAAAGATCTTTAAGGCTTGTGTAACATTTCATCTCGCTGGCAGGATGGAATCAGCAGTTTAAAATGAAGTAGCTGGGACTTTTTGAGACGTTATTGGGACTATTTTAAGATAAGAGGAGCGTCCATGCTGACCATGAAAATTTGAACGTAACAACTAGATGGGGGATGGATCAGTCCTGAGTCGTTCTAGGCCTAGGGGCGCTGACGTCCATAAAGCAAAGAGTAAAAAGGGAAAGGGACCCCTGACCATAGGTCCAGTCGCAGACGACTCTGGGGTTGTGGCACTCATCTCGCTTTATTGGCCGAGGGAGCCGGCATACAGCTTCCGGGTCATGTGCCCAGCATGACTAAGCTGCTTCTGGCGAACCAGAGCAGCGCACGGAAACGCCGTTTACCTTCCTGCCGGAGTGGTACCCATTTATCTACTTGCACTTTGATGTGCTTTCGAACTGCTAGGTTGGCAGGAGCAGGGACCGAGCAACAGGAGCTTACCCCGTCGCGGGGATTCAAACTGCCGACCTTCTGATCGGCAAGTCCTAGGCTCTGTGGTTTAACCCACAGTACCACCCGCGTCCCTCAAAGCAAAGAGTACAGGCACCATAAATTCTGTAGAAGAGGGAACTGCAGCAGACGTTGCTTATATGACAGGCTATACCTGCTGAAATCCCCTCTTCTATCCAACGATTAAAGTTGTAGAAGTCCTGCCCTCTTTTCCATCTGGACACTCCATTTCCCATTTGTTCCCCCGAAAGGAGGAGGAAGAAGGTGTTTGGTTAGCGCTCTGCCCAAATTTTAGGTGAATATTTTCCTCAGGGGAAATGGGGGGGGGCAGTTCCCTGATTATTTATTTATTTATACATACCCCGCCCATCTGGCTGGGTTTCTCCAGCCACTTTGGGTGGCTCCCAACAGAATATTACAAACATGATAAAACATCAAACATTAACAACTTCCCTAAACAGGGTTGCCTTCAGATGTCTTCTAAAAGTCAGATAGTTGTTTATCTCCTTCACATCTGATGGGAGGGCATTCCACAGGGCGGGCACCACTACCGAGAAGGCCTTCTGCCTGGTTCCCTGTAACCTCACTTTTTGCAGTAAGGGAACTGCCAGAAGGCCCTCAAGAGCTGGACCTCAGTGTCAGAGCTGGACATGCACAGGATTTCTCAGTAAATGTATCATCTCATCAGAGGAATATGATCTGTTTCTTCTTTCAGCATCATAGAGCTCTTGCTAATAAATTAACACCGACTGGGGGGGTCTTTACTAATAATCATGACATTTTTTATGTCATCTTCCTCATAGACCCATGGTTTCAGAAGAGTATTGGATGCTGATTATAAATACTTGCCTGAGAAACAATTGCTATCTCACAAACCTTATTCTTACTCAAGTGTCTATCTATATACCATGTTGCCCTCACTGGCCAGTTGAAATTCTAAACAGGGGTCCTGTGTTTAGAATGAATTGTGCTAAAAGAGTCAGGTTTCCTACAAATGTTGAAGATACTAAGAGGTCAAATGAAAAAGGAATGACACTGGAGACAGGAAGCAGCAGCAGCAACAACAACAACAACAATTTATACCCTGCCCATCTGGTTGGGTTTCCCCAGCCACTCTGGGCAGCTCCCAACAGAATATTGAAAACACAATAAAACATCAAACATTAAAAACTTCCCTAAACAGGGCTGCCTGCAGATGTCTTCTTAAAGTCAGGTAGTTGTTTATTTCCTTGACATCTGATGGGAGGGTGTTCCACAGGGCAGGCGCCACCACTGAAAAGGCCCTCTGCCTGGTTCCCTGTAACTTTGCTTCTCACAGAGAGGGTACTGCCAGAAGGCCCTTGGAGCTGGACCTCTGTGACGAGGCTGAACGATGGTTCTGATTCTTCCAGTCCATCTAAATTTGGGGGGGGGGATGAGGAAAGGGAAAAAAAATAAGAGGCATCCCCCTTCCCAATTTTCCAATCTATTCCCCAGGCCTTCACATCTTTAATTTTAAGTCAGGGTTGGGGATTCTTAGGACTCAGGATGCAGGCCCATGACATAAATATACAAAAATTTAGCATATGCTAATGTAATGTCTATACATGTACATTGCCTCCAGGCTAATGGAGATACAGTGGTACCTCGGGTTACATACGCTTCGGGTTACAGGCTCCGCTAACCCAGAAATAGTACCTCAGGTTAAGAACTTTGCTTCAGGATGAGAACAGAAATCGTGCAGCAGCGGTGCAGCAGCAGCAGCAGCAGCAGCAGGAGGAGGCCCCATTAGCTAAAGTGGTGCTTCAGGTTAAGAACAGACCTCCAGAACGAATTAAGTTCTTAACCCGAGGTACCACTGTAGAGGGTGGCTGAGATTTCTCCAGCACTGCAGCTTGCAGTGTGCTCAGCTGTCCTGTAACCAACATTTTAACAGTTTTAAAGCAAGGAATCAAAGGGGCTGGATACCTGGAGCCTAGGGCAGAAGATCAGGGATTTGGGTTCCCTGGGTCACCCTTTACCATACCCTGGTCCAGTGAGTTTGAGAAGACTGTTAAATTTATCTCCTTTGCTAGAGGTGACTGAAAGTAGGGCTGACCCAAGACGTTTTGGTACCTGAGGTGAGCCACAAAATGGCGCCCCTGCCCCTCCAGGGAAGAAGGGATGAGTGAAGATCTACATCAAGAGGGAAATAAAGATCTACATTGGGAACATGGTTCAGGGGAGACCAGTATCACCTCCTATAGAGGCAGCTATAGAGTGGGCATTGCGAGGTGGCAGCAGATCCAGCCTCCAAGGACCACATCACAGCTGTTGATGCATTCCTTAGAGGCCTATCCCTGGGGATCCTGCTGCCTAAGGCAGTCAGCTTACCTTGCCTCATAGGTGGGCCGGCGCTGCTGAATGGGACACATTTTCATTTCTCTAATCTGATTAGTCTGATTACCTCCACACTACACATTTGCAGCTTGCGGTTTCCCCCAAAGAATCCTGGGAACAGGATGCAGGGAAAACAACAGTTCCCAGAATTCTTTGGGGGGAAGCTATGACTGTTAGTGTGCTATAATGTGCTTTAAGTATATAGTGGAGAGATAACCAAGAATTATCCAAGACTGCCAAGATTCGTTTTGAAAGTGATTGGACCAGAGGTCCAGTTTAGCTAAGTCAAGGAGACAGACAGACCCCGTTCCTCAAATTTCTCTGCCAGTGTTATATTCTTGTTTATTTCACTGGCACAACAGTGTGAGTATTGGCTCGAAAGAAATGGTTGTAAATCAAATCTTTAGTGATGACGCATAATCCAGATCTGGATTTCTAAACTTTCCACACCCCAAATCCTTGCTACTGGGAATCAGGTTTTGTCTTACCATGCCTAATGGTAAAGTAAGTCTTTCTGATCCACATTTTGATATCAGCTCCAGAGCTGAGCTATAGGGGAGTCCCAACTCTAAGCATTTCTCCCCCTTAAATATTTATATTTATGACTCAACAGGTACAGAAAAAGAGACAGAGAGACACATTTGAAAGTAATACACTCTAAATACTTATTTTTTCCAGGAGTTTTCTCCAATGACTTATTATTCCCATGAATCACAAGCTCAGTAAAGCTGGAACGGTAGCTACCGGTCGGCCATCGAGTCTATTTCTCTGCATCGTGGCAGGATAGATTACTTCTGATTACTAAATCATTCCTATTCCTAAACAGATGGGTGGCCTAGCCTTGAACGTCACAAGCGATGGAAATTCTCAGGCTTTTTTGGCAACCTCAGCCTGACTCTTCATCCGTCGATCAAATTCTTATATAATATTTAATCTATGTTTCCCCAGCTGCACTTCAGACTTATCACTGTGTTATTTTCCATTTCTATTGGTCTAATGGGAATAATCGGCCTTCATCCTTTGTATCAGGCATCGTTTCACATATCTGCGATATTTTCTTTGCAAAATGTTTGCAGGTTCATTTGCATGAGGTTCACTAAAGTTCAGGTCTTTCGGAAACATCTCACATTCTACTGTAATGCTAACTAATATCAGGCTGTACCTCATATGTCCAGTCTTACATTTTATAGCACCAGATGGCACATAGTGGTCCACATGCCCTCTCTGTTGTACCTAATTCAAACATCAAAACAGCAGCAGAAGCCTCGCTTCCTTCCCCCTGAGTATACACAGAGTAATGCTGAAATAAAAACCCAATTTATTCTGCAGTCCAATGCAGCTGTACCGAACATGCATGACGAAATGAAGGGGGCAGAGTATGGTTGCAATTAGCAACTTTTTGACTGATCAGTGTCTCAGTTACATGGAGCAATATGAGAAAACACTGTGGTTTCTATTGTCGCCCGCCATGCAAATCTCTGAGCGGTGCAAAATTCAAGGGGCGCCAGGCAACCCAGGGTGTTGTTTCCTTGAAATGAGGGTCAGCGGAGACTGTGATATCTTTATGACATATGGATTATTTACACACATATACAACCTGAGCCTATGATGGAGGGGCTTCTGGGCATTAACAGCCCAGAAGGTCTTGCTTGCCCCATAGCCACAGCCTTGGATTCAAGCAGAACTCAAGAATAGCTCTCACCTTCTGACTTCTGCCTGATTCTAGCTCAGTTCTCTCGTAGGCAATACTCTGGCTATTGTCCTTCTCATTAGCAGCCAGGTGAAGTAGGCAGCTCACCCATTTGCCCTCTGGCACAAAGCAACTTCCCCTCTTATACCAAAGGCCCATACTTAGGGGCCATTATGGACCTTGCCTGACTAATTTAACAATGGGATCCTCTATCGGATTTTAACCCTTGCTGGATCCAGGAATTAGAAGGGACCCAAGCATCATACAGCTTAACCATGCACACACACCCAAACTCACAACAATGAGGAGTTTGGATTTGATATCCCGCTTTATCATTACCTGAAGGAGTCTCAAAGCGGCTAACATTCTCCTTTCCCTTCCTCCCCCACAACAAACACTCTGTGAGGTGAGTGGGGCTGAGAGACTTCAGAGAAGTGTGACTGGCCCAAGGTCACCCAGCAGCTGCATATGGAGGAGTGGAGACGCAAACCCGGTTCCAAAGATTATGAGTCTACTGCTCTTAACCGCTACACCACACTGGCTCTGTCTCCTCAATGCCTCCATCACATAGGTGTTTGAAGCCTCATGTGACTTGAATAACATGAGGGAACATGCTAGCTACCTATTACATCTCCATTATCTGACCACACTACCCTCCATGCATTGTTGGGGGGACATGGGTGGTGCTATGGTCTAAATCACTGTGGGCTTGCCAACTGGAAGATTGGTGGTTCAGATCCCTGCGATGGAGTGAGTTCCCATTGCTCTGTCCCAGCTCCTGCCAACCTAGTAGTTTGAAAGCACACCAGTGCGAGTAGATAAATAGGTATCACTGCAGCAGGAAGGTAAACGGCGTTTCTGTCACGGTTTCTGTCACGGTGTTCTGTTGCACCAGAAGCGGTTTAGTTCTGCTGGCCACATGACCCGGAAATCTGTCTGTGGACAAACACTGGCTCCCTCGGCCTGAAAGCACCTCATAGTTGCCTTTGACTGGACTTAACTGTCCAGGGGTCCTTTACCTTTTACAGTAGGGATTCCTGCTGAACTTGCAGAGAGGATCAATGAACTTATTCTGACCTCATTTTGCAGAATTCTAGAACATGCCAGGAGCCTCCACTGAGTACAGCAGGTTCCCTGACTCAAGATGTTTGTCACACAACGTGCCGAGGTGGGGTATGACCAGTGACAAGGAAGTCCCATTCCACATGAAGTGTTTGTGTGAATGGGGCTTCTCTAATGGATGCCACCTTCAATATTGTCCATCCTGACTGGCAGTGGTTCTTCATGGTTTCAGACATGGTGCGTCACTCCCCAACTGGAGATGCTAAAAATTGAATCTGGGACCTTTTGCATGCAAAATATGCACCTTCCCATAGCTGCAATTCTATACACAAGGGGTTGGAACCTAAAGACTTTCAGGTGCTTTTGGACAACAACTCCCATTATCCCTGATGGGTTGCTGGTTGGGGCTGATGAAGTTGATGGGAATAAGATTCCAACAACATCAGTGCCTGCAATCTCATGGGTAGTGTGCGTGTATAGAAGATGCAGATCGATGGAAGTCTCTGGAAGCTGCAACAAACTGCTTGATCCAATCCCAGAATCAATTTCTGATGTTATCCCATTTAAACCAGAATTCCAGAGAAGTAGATTGCAGTATAGAGTGAACCAGGGGAACAATAAAGGAACAGAATGGGGAAAACATTCTCTTCTCGAAGCAAGCAGCCTTTACTATTTGGCCACTGAGTCCCTGTTTCAGAAGCACAGCTGTTCCCGTCAAAAGCCCTGAAGACCATGATATACAACATAATGAACCTTGAGACTCCAGCAGAATAGCCACAATTCAATGCAGCTGGGTTGCTCAACTGGAAAACAGGGAGGGAATGTTTAAAAGAGAAGCATTCCTAATTTTCTCCCCTTGCTAAGCTTTAGAAGTACTGGATATTTAACCTGAAGGGAGGCAAAGGGGGCTTTTTAGGCATCCTTTTATGCTCGCTGGATGAAGTCACTAGAGTCTGATTGTGCCTGATTCAATTCAGAAGGTCCCTCATTCAATCCCTGCCATCTCCTGTAAAAGGACCTTGGAAGCAAGTCCCCATCTCTGCTCCCTTAGGCCTTGGAGTGCTGTAAGGTAAAGGGACCCCTGACCATTAGGTCCAGTCGTGGCCGACTCTAGGGTTGCAGCGCTCATCTCACTTTATTGGCCGAGGGAGCTTCTGGGTCATGTGGCCAGCATGACTAAGGTAGCTTCATATCCTCACTTTCGGCAACGGCCATCGCTCAGTGATAGAGTACATGCATTGTATGCAGAATTCTCAGGTTCTGTCCCAAAATCTGCACATAGGGCACTGAAAGAATCATGCCTTGAAATCCTGGAGAGGCACAGCTGAAAAGTGTTCATAATACAAAGCTAGAGGGACCAAGACCCAGACTCAGTTTAAGGGTGCTGCCTATGTTCCTGTGACCCCTATAAATAAGTGGGTGAGTTATTTTCTTCCTTTTATGGTATTCCTTCCCTCCCTTTAAGGGGTACACGAGTTCATTGCAAAGCAAAACACAAATTTTGTGAGTTGTCAAGCCAAAAGAATGGTTCAAATGCCATTGGATCAATTGCAAGCTGATTTTATTTGAAGATGTACACAAGACCCATTCACTTCTTTTGAGGGTGTATCTAACAAGAATGCTTATTACGCCCACTTTTCTGACTCAGCCATCTGCCTATTGGAGTGGTCAACAGAGCCTTTGGCAGCTTGTAGCTGTTGAGCTTTTTGGGCGGGAGGGATCAACCTCAAAATTGAAATTAATGAAACAAAGTTCATCATGTTCATTAACTTTACTGGGTCTACTCTGAGTAGGAGTAGTACAGTGGTACCTCGGGTTAAGTACTTAACCTGAAACTGTTCTTAACCTGAAGCACCACTTTAGCTAATGGGGCCTCCTGCTGCTGCACGATTTCTGTTCTCATCCTGAAGCAAAGTTCTTAACCCGAGGTACTATTTCTGGGTTAGCAGAGTCTGCACCTGAAGCGTATGTAACCCAGGGTACCACTGTATTGGCTACCACCGAAAGTCTACAAATCTATGCAGAGTATCTCTCTCATCATTTACAAATGTTAATTGAGATTTTTCCTTCTGATTAGACAGTTCCTGGAAGATGTTGCATCTCTGAAGGACCCATGGAGCTTCTCCCCCTACATGGAGCTATCCTGTTCTCCACAGGAAAAGGAAGAATGGTTTGTGTAGAAGGAAATGGCTGTTCTGTACAGAACTATTTCAGAGAGGGGGGGGAAGCTTGTTGGCACAGGGGCTAGTTGTGCGTTAGGATGCCTGTGGCATTCTGGATCAGGGGGTATAAATTAGTGCACAGGGATTAAAATCATTTAAGCACCAAATGCAACATGAGAATATGTTTGCGTAAAAGATCGTCACATGCTTAGATGTGCTCATAATCAAATCCGGCCTGCATTGCCAAATGTAGTGCTGAGTGAAATGTGTGGGCAGGGACTTTGGCATAGCGTGTGTCCCAAACCCAAAATGTACTAACTAGGAAAGCCAGAATCTTCAAATTCACCACAGACAGAAAGAATGTTTGTAAAGTGAATATGTGTTTTCTGTTTTGTAAATTTGAGCATTCACTTTTTTTTTTAAAAAAAAAGGGAACAGCAACAACATTCCGTGAACACCCAGTCAAGTAGTCAAACTTTTCCTTGAGCCCTTAAACAAATGATCTTTCAGTTCAGAAGAACACACTCTCCCAATTCCATTAAATGAAAACGGTACAGGAGGTTGGACAAATATTTTTTTTCCACCTGCAGAGCAAAGCTATCCAACTCTAAGGGAGTCCAGAAAGAGTCCAGGACAGTAAATATAAAATCACGGGCAAGCTGGCAAGCAGTGAGTTTGAGATTAAATTGCACTATAGGCCCAGTAATACTTGCTGTCAAATTAGTAAATATTATAGCTCGTTGCATTTTTGGTATGTCACTGATGCTGATGCTTCGCATAACATTGTCAGGTTTACTTTGGTTTAATCTTATCTTGAAACTGAGTTGAAGTAAGTGGATTTCTATGCATTTTTCAAAGACCTAAACTGCATCTTTACTTGCCGTAGCAGTAAAAAAAACACAAAAAACTGCCAACAATACAAGTGATGAACCAAACAAATAATATTAATTTAATCTTTACAACAGTTGCATAGTTATAACTTTGGTCCAGGAAATTTTGTTCCTTAAAAAAACTTGCTTTCCTTCACAGTACTTCTGTTTCAGGCTATAAGATCACCAGGATTGACCAATATATGGATTGACCAAGAAAGGATGAATGGAATCAGTTTATGTATATTTCTTGGAAAATGCCAAGGTCTCTAAGTAGATACATTTCCAGGTCTTTGGATACATTTTATGGGGAAACTCATTTGTTGTTGTTGTTTAGTTGTTTAGTTGTGTCCGACTCTTCGTGACCTCATGGACCAGAGCACGCCAGGCACTCCTGTCTTCCACTGCCTCCCGCAGTTTGGCCAAACTCATGCTGGTAGCTTCGAGAACACTATCCAACCATCTCGTCCTCTGTCGTCCCCTTCTCCTTGTGCCCTCCATCTTTCCCAACATCAGGGTCTTTTCCAGGGAGTCTTCTCATATTAGGCATATTAAAGACATTCAGAACCAATTTCTATCATGGGGCAAAATGAACATATTTTGTATTGGTGGTACATCAATGATAAAAAGTCAAATTTTGGTCATGGCTTGCCGCATATATATTAATTGAGGAATTGGCAGTGATATGTTTCCAAATTAATTTGAACTGAAAACAGCAGTCTTCTTTACAGACTGGTATCTTTACAAAATAATGGACTTGTTACTCGTTCATGTTTATCTATGACTTAGAGTGCCAGTCTAACATTGTGAGGATTCCAGCAAAACCGACAATCTATTATCCTCACCGTCTGATACTCGCAACTGAGATGTCATACACAACTGTTTCTGAGGTCTGCTTCTAGTAGCTCTGACCAACTTCCTCACAGTGGCTGTTCTTTCACCTATGTTTTTTTAAATAAAAATAAAAATGACCATTCTTCGCTTCCAATGAATTCACAATGTGTATCTTCCTCTCTCTCTCTCTCTAATTGCTTAAGCTTATAATTGGGCTTGTTTGTTTTTGATTAAATAAAGATGTTCTGCTCCTTTTGTAGAAGTGATGTCACCTAATTGGCTACATGTTGGCTTGCCTATGACGTACATATAATGTGATCTGCTGTTGTTAAAAAAAAGAGAGGAAAGAAACCCCCCCCCCAAGTTTAAGCTTGATTAAAGCAAGTTTCTCAAGTGGTCTTTTAATAGTAGGGCTCTCTAGAAATTGAAAGATTCTCAAATTCGGTATTATTATTATTTCTTTGTAGAAAGGGATGGGGTGGAAGAAAGGGAGATTTTCTCTCCTCTTAGTTAACCACAGGAAACAAAATATTAACGGCTGGAGGGGGTATTTTGGGTCCTCCCCAAAATCCGAACCACAATAAGACTGTTCCCCTTTCATGTGAATACATATTTCAACATTTCGTTTCTGTAAGCTCCATATATGTGGGACGAGCAAGACTCTTGAAGCACCAGTTAGCGGTTTTGATCTAAATCTCATCATCTAATTATTTTTACAGCGCATTCTTACAGGGGTAGAAACAGTTCCGCCAAGAGATGCTTCACAATAATTAGAAGCCCCAGTGGATCTTTTATGAATGTTTAAAGGCTTCCATATGCAGGCTGCTGACATGGAAATGCACAACATGCTACTCCTCATCGAAGCAGCAAGTCCCTTGTTGCATATCGTCAACGCGAATGGCACCAGTGCCAGCCACTTTTGCTCCTGGATCTCTGACTGTTAATGACTTGCGGGGAGAACAGCATTGTGTACTTTTCAGTTTCCAATTAATATTGATCTCAGGCATGCATGTTCTGCATCAGGGGTGCCAACTTGAATAAAACATTGAGGGAGCCCAGGTAAGCCCTGTCCCACATAACGCAGTGCACACACCATTTGAACGGCAATGTCCATCAACTTGGAGCGGGGGACAGCCCCCTCAAATATTTTATTTACGGGGAACCAGACAGAGGGTCTTCTTGGTAGTGGCGCCTGCCCTGTGGAACGCCCTCCCTTCAGATGCAAAGGAAATAAGCAGCTATCTTCTCTTTAAAAGACATATGAAGGCAGCCCTGTTTAGGGAAGTTTTTATATATTTAATGCTGTATTGTTTTTAACACTTGATTGGAAGCTGCCCGGAGTGACTGGGGAAACTCAGCCAGATGGGCAGGGTATAAAAAATAAATTATTATTATTATATTATTATTATTGGGGGCCCCAAAGCCCCCAATAGGAGTTGTCTCCTATGTTCTGTATATAAGAGACATGCACTAAATGTAATGGAGTTACTGGGAATTACAAGATCCATAACGCAGTACAACTGCATTTCTATAAAACATTACAGTGGACCCTCGGGTTACATAACCTTCGGGTAACGTAATCTTCGGGTTGTGAACACAGCAAACTCAGACGTGGGTTTGCTGCTCATGTGTGTGCAGAAGTGGTCCTCCGGTTATGAAATTTTCGGGATACGGCTGTGCCTCCGGAATGGATCCCATTTGTCACCAGAGGTACCACTGTATAGGGCTGAGATCAGGCGATTGGCAGGAAGATTGGAATTATGCATGGCAGTTATGAAATCTAATGATTCAGACTGAAGTTTCGCATAAATATGTGGCTTTCAACAAGAGCAGTTTTTATATATTGTCAGGGGAGGCTTCTCCTACGAACGAAGTAGCCCTGCCAAGATTCTGAACCTGCCCAAACCAAAACCATGGTCCAGTTTTTGTCCTGTCACCCACGGTAATATCAATACAGTACTGAAGTAACTGAGAAGTTTCTGTCCATCTGTTTCAGGCCATGACCATTGATGTTAAAAAGAAGAAGAAGAATATTCATGAGCAAGAATGGTCCCATTTCCGATGGTAATAAGGCCAGCTACTTATTTCAGCGCTAAGTTGTTGTTTATAGGACCAGAAGGATGAAAATCCCTTCTACTTCATACTAAGACCCATGGTTCGCATTAAAATGAAAGTCAAGCAAGAAACCACAAGATTCTTCTGAAAGAGCCTAATTGGCACCTAATCTGGACTAATTGCTAGCAACTGGAAAACTGATTACAAGAAATGTGGTATTGCTTTGACATCAGTATAGGGATACTTGTGCTTTGCAAAATTATAGTTTCTCATCTACAGTGCAGGTAAGTTCTTATTTATTATGGGAAACGACAATTACATGCCTTTTGCTCCTTGAACAAAGCTAGATATTGTGGAGCAGAAAATCGAAAGGAAATAGATGTGATGGTAGATCCAAATGTCAAAGAAAGTGCTCTATTAAAAGGTTGTTTTTTGTTTTTTTGAAGTATTCACCAACTCCTTAGTACAGAGATCTCTGAAATATTTGAAATGGGTCATTCCAAATCAAGTGATCCAACTTTTTTTTTACCTCATGTTATCCAATTTTCTTAATATTTTGTACACTTGTTGAATGATCAAAACAAAGTTTAAATTTTATTTTTAATCTCAGCTAATTTTTGAGCTATGAGGGTCTGAAATTTCTAAAAATTGACAATTTTGGCCTTGTCGTACTACACAAAAGCCTTTAAAGCTCAGCCCAGGAGTGAGATACACCAAAACCAAGAACACCAATCTCTTCAGAACATCACGGGCTTTAATATGATGTGTCATATGATGGACTTACTTAAAATTTTAAATGAAAGTTGTAAAATTTTAAAAAGTTGTTAAAAATTAATGATTTTAAAATTCCAAAAAATGCATTGATTATTTAATATTTCTAAGAGCTATCTTCAAAATTTCATCTTGGGATCTCAATGGAATCACATTAAAACATATTTTTGTACATACATTTATCCTAGATAAAACCCAATAAGCCAGACATGTATGGCAGCAGCAGTCAAGGATGCTCCCTTGTGCCTTCCATCCTTCAGGACAAGCACTGGCTCATTGTCCTCCCTGAGCTCGGGATTCTGAGAACAACTCAGGATGGCTTTTGAAATTCCAGGACTATCCCTGGAAAACATGGGCACTTGGAGGCTATGCAATCAGTGCTTCACTAATGCTACAGCTCGTGAGAAGGAAAACTGGAACAATTCATAAAGGAAGAATCGCCTGTCGCAATATGATTAAAATTAGTTCACCATAGTGGAATTAGTGTCTTTTCCAGAGGCTTCATTATTGGCTCATTTATTTATTTATTTTGCAGCCAGACTAAACCATTGCTCTAAAAAAGAAGAGGGGGAGGAGAAGAGAAGAGAAGGGAAGGGAAGAGAAGAAGGAAGGAAGGAAGGAAGGAAGGAAGGAAGGAAGGAAGGAAGGAAGGAAGGAAGGGGCTCTATTACTTTTTCTGGCCTGAACTTTTTGCAAGCGACAGTAAACCTAATTTAGATGATTTGTTGCACTAAAACAAGGTATGCGGGAAAGATTCTCTTTTCTGACAGAAGATTGTCCAGCATCAGAACCCATTTTTATGAGCCTCAAATCTAAATAGACATGATGAATCCACCCAAATCAAGCTATTCATTTTCTATCAATAAAACTCGAGGAAATTGCAGTCTTTAAACATTTATAGTTTTAATTATCCCTTGGCAGAGACAGAGAGCCTGGTAATGTGCTATATTTGTAGTGACACGTACCAAGAAAAGGAGAAAAAGAATATGAAATACTAAAACATACCAAAGTTCAATTTATTTGTGCAGCACCATTTTCTGCCATATTGCTAATCTTTAGCAGAGGTCTCAAAGTGCGCTAGTCACAATTTCTAAGGTTGCAATAAAAGTTGGAATAGGGCTTTCATCAGGAAACTGTAATTTGGGTATGGGGGAAAGATTTTCTTTTTCTTTTTAAAATATTTTTATTAACAATTTCAGCACATCAAAATTTCAAAACATATCATATTCATTATTTCCCCCCCTTTTCCCCACCCCTCAAACCCTCCGCCCTCCCCCGAGACTTCCCTCATATCCTCTCTCTGATTTCTCAGCACATATTACTCTCTGCATGTTATAAACTTGTACATATCCTTCCGTTATCTATCTATCATGTTATCAGCCAATAAATTTGTGTATGTTTATTCAAACCCTGCCCAGGAATCCAGTTCGTTTTGTTGTCTTTTTAAATAATTTGTAAAAAGCTCCCATTCTTCCTTAAAGTCACAGTTGTCCTTGTCCCTCAGTTTGTATGTCAATTTAGCCAATTCTGCACAAGTCATCAGTTTTTCTTGCCACTGTTCTTTCATTGGGATTTCCTCATTCTTCCATCCTTGTGCTATCAAGACTCTTGCCTCTGTTGTCGCATACATAAATAAGTTATTTTTCTTGGCAGGTCTTGTCCTAGAATCCCTAACAAAAATGCCTCTGGGTTTTTTTTACAAATGTCATTTTGAACATTTTTTCAATTCATTGTAAATCATTTCCCAATTTTTTTCCATTTCTCTACATTCCTACCACATACCACATATGATTAAAAAGTCCCTTCTTTTTCTTTACATTTCCAACATATGTTTGACCCAGTTTTATACATTTTTGCTATCTGTACTGGTGTAATATACCCTCTATACATCATTTTCATGTAATTTTCTTTCAAAAGAGAGCAGTCTGTAAATTTGAAATTTACTGGCACTTTCCACAATTTCCCCCAGTCCTCAAATTGTATATTATGTCCTAAATCTTCTGCCCATTAGATTTTCTCCCTCTTACTAGCCGAATTTTTCAGCCAATGTCGCTGACAATAAACCTCAGAACATTTAACTCTCAAGGTGCAAAAATGATGAGTCAGGGCTTACTATTAGTGTGATTTCAAAATGTAAGAAATTTTGGATTTAAGGCTACAGTCCTATGTCTACGTACCTGGGTATGCTTTGTTGAATTCAGCAAGGCTTGCTTGTAGTATATAGGATTGTAAAGTCAAGGGACTTTCTGCTTCACCAGATAACTGCAAACTATATTTTAGATATACTATATGTAATCTATATTTTAGATAGTGTAGATTCACCTACCCTAGAATTAGAACTCTGGGATTTGTGGCAATGGAGTGGGAGAAGGGTGAGGGAGGGAATGAACATATTATTGTGGAACTCTGTAGTAAGTAATAGGGATGATGGCAGAATTTGTTACTGAGCTGTGAACACAGCCCACTGGTCTACTCCCTTTGCAAAACAGCCTTGCTGCAATTTTCTCGGATACCATTTGGATTTTTTTGGGTTGGGGTGTGATGGTGGAATTTTTTGAATATGACAATATTTGTTCCGATGCAATTTAGTCCGCTATAATCAGCATCAGCTCTTAGCTGTCTGCTAACTGTCTGTATATTAACTTTAACCCCTGCCTCAATGATTCAGTGCTGAAGTGATTATGTTAGCCATCAACCATCAATAACATTCATTGTTTTATTGTTAACCCTTTTCTCACCTTTGGCCCACTGTTTGACTTAACCACACACACACACACACACACACACACACACACAGTCATTGTTGCCTTATACGTTAATGTGAATTTACTATACTTATTGATGGGCTTCACTGGTATTTTGTGCATGTTAAAATGTGAGTCAGATGTATTTACTTTTGTGACGACACTATTACATCATTTATTATAACTTTATAATAACTTTAACTCTATTATAACTTTGTAATAAATGGTTAATTTTCTTATCTTCCTGTGCAAAAATACTAACTGCATTCTTTTTAGGTGGTGGGGGCAAACTGTGTCAGTTAGCAAGGAGGGAAATAAGCACCCTCTGCAAGCTATGCCTTGAACGATGTGAACTGGGTTTTGGGGAAGGCGGTGGGTTGTGATAGTGGGAGGGATCATAAACACCCAGTGCTCTGAAATCTGTACCATTCTAGATTGCAGTGTTTTATTTGGTAAGTTGAGGCAGGGTAAACAGCCAATTCCTGCCCTTTCCATGCTCTAGTCAGCACCTTCATAAAATTCGTTGTACCTCTGATTTATAAAAATAATAATAAATTTTCTAATTTACACTTCAAAATATTCATTTTAACAACCTTAAATCAGTGACTTCCCTTCTTCTCTTTCCGTGGTTCATTTTGCATACCACACACCCCTGCATATTTTACATGAACTAAACCATTCAGTAATCCATTGTTACATCCACCAAAACTTATTTACACTGTTGAATTTATCTTAATGCTACCAGCATTTTTAAATAAACACAATTTTCACCCATATATTCAGTAAACATTTTCCAGTCTTCTTTAAATGTACATTCTTCTTGTTCTCTTATTCTATACGTTAAATGTGCAAGCTGCACGTATTTCATCAGTTTAAGTTGCCATTCTTCTTTGGTTGGGACCTCGCTCGTTTTCCATTTTGGGGCTAACGAAACACGGACCGCCGTAGTAGCATACATAAATATTCTTTTTTGACACCTGGGATTTTTTTATATATATTCATTGTACTTCCTCCTATTCCACTGCCCATTTCCCATCAGTTCATCTTCCAAATCCAATTTTCACTTCCACCCATAATCATTTTAATATTCAGCTAACATTATTCCCTCCCCAAGCTACCCTACTCAATTCCTACCCATTAACGTAAGCCATTCACACTGCAATTCATTACAATTCCAGTAGTACCACTTTAAAAAAAACCAATGGAGCCTCCACCTTCCGTCATAGCCAGAACTGGAAAGGGTAGCTGACTGTATTGAATTCACAATGCATCCACTATAAGTTGTGAGCCATGCCCAAGCTTAGTGTGAGTGATGCGCGAGGAGCGGCTATTGGCACTGCCAGGCTACATTTTAAATACCACTCCTAGGTGGTATTAAATTTGACCTGTACAGTCTTATCTCATGGATACGGATTGTGGTGTGCACCATTTCAATTTGCCTTGACTGAAAAAGAGGACGAGTCATGTCTCTGTGCAGAATCTGAAACAAAAACCAGTGCATTGGGTCACTCATTTGTTTGACAATATAAGTTGTTAATATGCTAGCTATTTGACAAGAAGAAATGAATAGACGGTAACCCCGAGGAATGATGCATACCTCAATGGACAATTTCTGGCTCATTGAGTTTTCAGCCAACTCTGAAATCATTGCGACCAACGTAAACAATAACGTTATTTACGCAAAGCTGAAGCGAGATGGTGCTTGAGATGAATCATTATCCAAACTTGTACCAGGTTTTGGATTACATACAGGTCCTGAATGTAAAATTTCAAAAAAATAATAATAATGCAAAAAATGTTCACTGTGCCATGAGCATAAACTGGATGCAATAAGGACACAGTAAATTTGATCCAGGACCAGGATGTAGGCAATGCAATAGTTTTTTGGTTTTTTAAAAAAACCAGACACAAGCCCAGTGTGGAAGGGTTAACTGTAAGCTAAGTAGATACCAAGATCAGGACGCAAAATTCTTTGTTAGTGAAAGCAAATAAATCAGTGAACATCAGAGAATAATGAGAAACAGATTTCCCTTAGTTAATTTCTGGGATATGTCATGGCTTTGGCTAAAGTCTGGCATAACATATTCATGATGCACAAATTCTACCACCCATGATAGACTGCAGTTTGTGAACAAAGCAAGCAATTATTCACATCTCTAACAGAATGAGCCCATTTCTAATTTCAATTACATTATTCTAAATCTGGAATCTTTCATCTAAAGTCATATTTAGACAACCTTTACATGCACATAGTCTTATAATGACCGTAGACACGTTTGAAATCCCATGGCCAGGGTCCAAGTGCCCGTGAGTGTGAGCAGAAAACACCTCCACATGCATCGGAGAGATATTTCCTTCCACCAACCGCCTCATACATCTCCTAGGGGGCTGTTCCAGAGATTTTTCAGGAGCATTCCTGATGGAAGTGGAAGCTGAAAACCTCTAAGCAGAACACTACCCATGGCACTTTGGAATCTGGCCTATATTGGGTCATATTTCACAGTTTGAAGAGTGCTGAGATCCATTCCAGGGTTTTATTATTTATGCAAATGTGTTCCAAAACCAAAAAGCCAGCATTATCCAAAAATGCAATTTTGCGTTGCAGTTATGTAAGAAAGTGAAGGCTCGGAGGACGAATGGTTTTCACTGCACATCATCATCTGAATTCTCACATGTTGCCTCTCAAATATTTTAGATTCTGTTCTGCAGCCTTTATGTCAGTTTAATCCACCTCTCAATACATATTCTTTCAACCACCATTTGAAAGCTTAACATGATTTAACATCTCTTGTACTTTTGAGACATGCTTACCTTTCGAAGCATTATATGTTCTCACGATAGTTCATGCTCTTCACACCAAACCACCCGTACTTATATTTTAGCCTGTTTGTTCTGATACATTTTGTCTTCTCACAAGCATTTCAGTTATTTTGCACTATATTTTTACAAACTCGGATATACATGGATGAGAGTTGATCTATCATCTTTAGTCTCATGAATGAAGCTGTATGCATATGAGCCATAATAAATGAACCGCTAAAGATGTCTGCAGTCCAATGTAATCTTAGCGATTAGTCCTCCCGATGATTGTACGAATGTATGTGTTTTAGATATTTATATCACACCTTTCCATAAGAAACTCCCAACGTAGTCACAAAAACTTTTTTTTAAAAAAATATCAATTAAGAACATTAATGGAGGACATTGAATGTGAACTTATTTGAAATTTTGTATGCCTATGTTTGGGGTTTAATTTTGATGGAAAATTCGACAGAAAAAAGTATGAGAAAGAAGACAATATAAGAATCCACAAAACATTTACAAAACGTGGCTCACTTTTATTTCATTTTCAACAAAGAAAGAAAATGTGTAAAAAACCACCCACAACACAAGGGAATCTGTGGGATGACACTTTTAAAATGGACAACTATTGAATTAATGTCATATTTATTATTAGGGACGTGGGTGGTGCTGTGGTCTAAACCACTGAGCTTCTTGGGTTTGCTGATTGGAAGGTTGGGAGTTCGAATCCCCATGACGGGGTGAGCTCCCGTTGCTCTGTCCTAGCTCCTGCCAACCTAGCTGTTCAAAAGCACACCAGTGCAAGTAGATAATAGGTACCTCTGTGGCTGGAAGGTAAACAGCATTTCTGTGCACTCTGGTTTCTGTCATGGTGTTCCATTGTGCCAGAAGCGGTTTAGTCATGCTGGCCTCATGACCCAGAAAGCTGTCTGTGGACAAATGTCAGCTCCCTCGGCCTGAAAGCAAGATGAGCGCCACAACCCCATAGTTGTTTTTGACTGAACTTAACCATCCAGGGGTCCTTTACCTTTACCTTTATTATTACTAATACAACTGAACAGAGTTGGGGTTGCTATTGTGTGGAAAACAGTAGGGGAATTGTAATTGATTGTACAGTGGTACCTTGGGTTAAGAACTTAATTCATTCTGGAGGTCCGTTCTTAACCTGAAACTGTTCTTAACCTGAAGCACCACTTTAGCTAATGGGGCCTCCTCCTGCTGCACGATTTCTGTTCTCATCCTGAAGCAAAGTTCTTAACACGAGGTACTATTTCTGGGTTAGCGGAGTCTGTAACCTAAAGCGTATGTAACCTGAAGTGTCTATAACCCGAGGTACCACTGTATTTTCAAAGTTACCGTAATATAAAAATATTAAGTACAAAACAATACATTAGAATAATGCAAGTATTTTAAAAGGCTCTCTAATACAACACCAGCAAAATTGGGGTAAAACAAAATAGCATTAATAGTGAAACAAGGCAGAGAAGGGTAGAGTGATGAATGAATGGAGATAAAAATTGTATCACCCATTAAAAGTTTTGGGGAATAAAATTGTCTAAACCTTGCAATTAAAGGTCAGCTGATTTTGCACTACGAGGAGACTCTCTGGGGTGGATATTCCACAACTGGAGCACCACAACATTAACCACAACAACAACATTTTGAGGGTTGGAGAGCCTTGTATAGGATTTCTGATAGGGTTCAAAGGATGTAAGGTTCATATGGGGCAGGTTGCAGGGTGGGGAAATCAAACAGGTAATGTGCATTGCGTGAAGACATCCCTGCCCCCTCTCTGGTGTGTACAACAGCATACAAATACAACTTAGAATGCAGGATTTGTGTGCGTGTGTTGCATTTTCAGTCTCTAATGTGTACATAGCCTTAGTTGGCCCTAACCCATACAAAACAAACTCTAGGAGAATTTCGACTTTCTCTTCTTCCAAGTTCTATTTCAGCGGAATTTTCCTTACAGTTTTTACTGTTCCTTCTCTGATGAGCATGGACTGTAATGTATTACAGGCACACATTTTATGGGCTGGGTTAATGCGAAAGATTGTATAACCTGATCTCCAGAACACAGCAAATTGCAGGTTAAAAGCACGCCATACACTGCTACTAGTTACCACATCAGCAGTTCAGATATGCACTTATGATTTAAGTCTCTGTGACCTGAGTCCGTCCCCCCCCCCTTTTTAATGCCATAACTTTAAAAGCAAACCAGGGTTTGGGCTGTCTAGAACTACAATGTGAGCATTATAACAGCCTTGCTCTCAGAGCCATTAAGCCATCTCCAGCACTCTTTTGTACTACATTAAAATAATTCCCAGTAGACAATAAACCTAGACCCCTCGTCTGTGAATCAGAAGCATTAAGTGGTTGACGGGCCGGCTAACAATGGGCTTTGTGGGAAGTCTGACATTACACAGGGGCTCATCATCATAGTAAAGTAATTAACAGATACTTAAAGGAATGTACATTTAAGCTCAGAAAACCTGTTAAGGGACTTCCTAAGTGGGCTGCCACAGTCCCCCCCCCCCCACTTTCCACCTCTCCTTTTTTATGACCAGGTAAAAAAGGAGTGCAGAGCTCAAATCCAATCTGAAAGTAGCTCAGCAGTCATTAGGTTCTCTATCAGCACAAGGCTCTCCCCATTCAACATTTTACAACTCTTGAGAGCTGCTCCTGACTTAAGATTTAGAGTAAATAAACAGTTCTGCTCCGACTTCTGTGAAAGCCAAGGAGCGGAAAGACCAGGGAGATACTTCTTCAGTAAAGATGTGGTACTGAGCAAATCACAGGGGGGGGGGGAGTGTGTGGATGAGATTAACTTTTTAACAGACAGAAAAAGATATTGTCCAACTAAGTTTCCCCATCCCTAGATACAACTCTCAGTCTGGCTGTAACACAACCACTGTGCATGTTTTGTCACGAAAGACTGTAGACTAATCTATACTGGTGAGTTATAACACTATAAACGTGTTATAAAATGTGACACTGGGGTGTGTGTGTGTGTCTCTGTACAGCAGTCAATGGAAAATTGCATTGAGAGCTATATAACATGGTCTTTTTTTCTTAGCTTCTTTTTGTGTGTTTTTTTAGATCAGTGTAGATCCAGCCCCATGCTACCCATTTTTGATTCCTAGGTTGGAACCTTCTGAACCTTTTCTCCACCATCTGCCATTCTTGCTGCCCACCTATCATCAGTGAGCTTTCAATGCCTAGATTGAAAACAATTTTGTTCTGAAAAAGAAAAACATGGAGTATATGTATGGCAGTTACATACCTGGGTACAGCAGAAAAGGGGTTTCATGCAGGAACCTCAGGCTTAAGAACATAAAGAGAGTCCTGCTGAATGGAGCCAATGGCTCATCTAGATCAGCGTCCTTGTCAGGGCTGACTCAGGTGCAGGCCAGCACTCAAACACAGAGACGAACAGGAAGTCTAATTCTTTATACAAGAAAACAGCCAACAACGCAGAGAAGCTTCAAGGCAGGACCACCTTCCATAAGACACCCCCCCTTCCTCCAGAGGTTGCCCATGTAGCCAGGAAAGCTCTTGGAAAGCTTCATGAGCTGAGTCTTAACTGCTTTCTGCCCTTGGCTCTTCCTTCTCACTGAGACCTGTTCTCAATGTCCCACCACTCCACTGGCTCTGAGCCTTCCTTCTCTGAGGCTTCCCTAGGGGGTTTGCCAGCTGGTGCCTCCCAACATCCCTGTTATCCAGTCAGTCCCTGGCAATCCTGTTCTCACAATGGCCAACAGATTCCCATGGAAAATGCACAAGCACCACCTGATTGCAACAGCACTCTCCCTACTTGTGATTCCATGTAACTGGCCTTTAGAAGCCTTTATTGGTTTTGACCTATAAAGCCTTAAACAGCTCAGGACAGCAATACCTCAAAGACTGTCTCTTCCCATATGAACCTACCTGGATGCTGGGATCATCTTCTGAGGCCCTTCTTCGTGTGCCTCCTTCATGAGAGGTCCGTAGGGTGGCAACACGAGAACGGGCCTTCTTTAATGGCTCCCCATCTGTGGAAAGCTCTCCCCAGGGAAGTTTGCCTGGCACCTTCATTATACACCTTTAGGCACCAGGCAAAAACGTTCCTTTTTAATCAAGCCTTTGCTTGATCTGATTGACATCCAATGCCCTTTTAAAATGTGTTGGGGCTAGACATTGATTAAAAGCCATATAAGCAAATTTAGTAGTGTCAGTTGAGAGTAGTGTCAGTTGAGTGCTGGTGGTTGCTAGGTTGCAGAGGTCCTTGTGACACGCCCTTCATTGTGACACCTCCCTCTGCTGGCTCCTTGGTCCTGTAGAGGCATAGCAATCTCCTTTGGTTTGATCATTCAGTGAGTGAGAGAGAAAGTGGATGGAGATGTAAGTAGACTTCCTCGTCAGCATCTGCATTCTGTGCTGGTAATGCTCCATGATAGTCTTAGGGAACATTTAAAAGAGGGAGGTCCTAAGGAAAAGCAGGACATTCCATGATCAAATCAGAAACGTGGACACCTTCTGTAAATCTGGGACTGTCCCTGGGAAATAGGGGCACTTGGGGGGTCTGTTACCTGGCCTTTGACACCAGAGAGTTGTATTTTCAAGACTCGCCCTGTTGACATCCAATGCCCTTTTGTGTTGGGGGGGTGTTATTGGGCTGTTTTTGTTTTTATTATGCACTTTGTATTTTTATATTGCGATCTGATCCTGTGAACTGCCCTGAAATCTGTGGTTATAGGGAGGTATACAAATTTAATTAATAACAACAATAATACTTTTAGATAGTTGTAACTTGTCCTGGGACCTGCTAGTGAAGGAGAGAAATAAAATGAATAAACACGCAAGGGGTGATTTCTGGTTTTCCACTGTTCAGCAATACAGGATGACACTGAAAAGGAAAGGGCTGCTGTGGAGCTGCAATGAATCACTTTGTGAATTGTCAAAGACACAGGGCCCTTTCCATAGCCTTTTGGTGTGTGGCAGTTGCAGCAGAGAGGCAGAGAGGTAGATTAGGTAGCTAATGCTCAGTAGGTGCAGGAACAACAGAAGCTTGAATATAAAGGGATAGATTTCACTTTACATATTTGTAAAAAGCTGAACATGGATTAAAAGCCATATAAGGAAACTTGGTAGTGTCAGTTGAGTGTAGTGTCAGTTGAGTGCTGGTGGTTGCTAGGTTGCGGAATTCCTTGTGACACACCCTTCATTGTGACACCTCCCTCTGCTGGCTCCTTGGTCCTGTAGAGGCATAGCCATCTCCTTTGGTTTGATCATTCAGGGACTGAGAAAGTGGATGGAGATGTGAGTAGACTTTCTCATCAGCATCTGCATTCTGTGCTGGTAACTCTCCATGAGAGTCTTAGGGAACATTTAAAAGATTAAGATTGGGAATAATTTAAATGCTTCAGCCAGCCCTTCTGGGCATCTTTATGACTCCACCCACAGTTTTGTAACAGTGAAGGGAAGTGACTGTGGATTCTGCCTACACTTTAGGAAAAGGAAAACTAATAAGAACTCACGCCTTGGAAAAGGGCGTTCTTTTTAGTCTAGTAACTTGCCATGGGAGTTTTATTTATTTTATAGTACAGTACATTGAATTCTGCTTTCATTTTATGGCTCAATGGTCTCATTAGATAGTAAAATACATGTTAAATTGCTGTTTTAGGGGTTGTTTTTAAAAGTCTGGAATGGATTAATCCATTTTGCATTACTTTCTTTGGGAAAGTGCACCTTGGTTTTGGAATGCTTTGGTTTTGGAACAGACTTCCGGAACGGATTAAGTTTGAGAACCGAGGTACCACTGTATTAGTATGTTATATTTGATGTTTCAGTTTTAAACGTCCCTTCTCCACAGTAAGCAAACCCATCTCTTTCAATGAGATGATGAGAATTGTCCTATAATATCCAGAGGGTGCTATTCTCGCTACAGTCTTCAAGCACTCTCTTCACAGGATACCCATTACGATATGACTAGGAAAGTGAATCCATCTTGAGCTTTGAGTCATGAATGCCCAAACCAGTTTAGGGATGTAGATCAGGAGAGTACAGTGAGTCCCATTTCTCACATTTTGACAGGCCTTCTCTGCAGTGGCTCTCCGTCTGTGGAATGCTCTTCCCAGGGAAGTTCGCCTGGCGCCTTCATTGGACACCTTTAGACACCAGGCAAAAAGGTTCCTTTTTAACCAGGCCTTTGGTTGACCTGATTGACATCCTATACCCTTTTAAAATGTGGCTCTTTTCGGGGAGGGGGTGTTGTTGTTGAGTTATTGTTCTTATTTTGATTTTATATATTGTGATTTTTTTTGTGAACCACCCTGAGACCTCTGGGTATGGGGAATTATATTAATTAATTAATTGATTGATTGATTAAATAGACCCATACTGCCCCAACAATAAGGCAGAACATAGCCTTCATGTCTAGTAACCACTTACACCAGGCATCTCCAAACTTGGCCCTACAGATGTTTTGGGGACTACAATTCCCACCATCCCTGACCGCTGGTCCTGTTAGCAAGGGATGATGGGAGTTGTAGTCCCAAAAATTCTGGAGGGCCAAGTTTGGGGATACCCGACTTACACCCTTGTTGGTCTTCCATTTTGTCTTGACCGAAACACAATTCACAGCTGTCATGCACACAGCCCTTCCATATAACATGCAGTCATAAGGACCATTTAAAAAGATATGAACCGCTGTAATTCCACTCCAAAGAATGGAACTACACCCCCAAGTGATATCATTTGTGGACTTGGGCCATGGGCGTTAACTTTAGTATGAATAATGTTGGAGGAATTCAAATTTATGCAGGAATCCAACATTTTGGAGTCTACCTAGCATGAGATCTAAAGGCAGTTACATGCCAGAGCTGAACATTTGAGAGGAGTTATTATGACGGAAGTCTCCAAAGCATGCCCGCCGTAGTTTTGTGCTGGAACCATGAAAAGAAGTACCATATGTGCAGTCATGTCAGGGTGAGTTTTCTAAGAGCTCAATGCATCAAGAAAATAGAGGCAACTGCACTGGGAACTAGAGAGGGCTGGCGACAGGGGCTGGCATGGTGTGCGATTATATGAGGGAGTTGGGTAAAAGGACGTTTGAAAGGGAGACGTCATCATGAGGAGGCTTGACTGGTTTTCATTATAAACAAGAAGAATGAATGGCAGCACAGGTTTAGACATGCGAGAAAGGGAAGGGTGGAAAGAATAAACCTTGAAATGGGAAAAAGGAGAGACAGGCCAGTGATGGCGTGATTTTATTTCCACTGTAAGCCACTCTTTTTGAAGAAAATATAATTATTATTTGAGCTCAGGTGGCCTTAGTGGTTCGGAGTGCCTTCCATCAGCTTTGGCTGGTGGCCCAGCTATGCCCCTATCTGGACAGGGATAGCCTAACTACTGTTGTCTATGCTCTGGTAACCTCAAGGTTAGATTACTGCCATGCGTTATATGTATGGCTGCCTCTGAAGATGGTTCAGAAACTTCAGCTGGTGCAGAATTCAGCAGCCAGGTTGCTCACCGGACCAGATGGTTTGAGCATATTATACCGATCCTGGTCTGACTGCACTGGCTACTAATCAGTTTCCGGGCCCGATTCAAAGTGCTGGTTTTGACCTATAAAGCCTTAAATGGCTCAGGACTGCAAAACCTCAAGGACCGCCTCTTTCCATATGAACCTGCCCAGACCCTGAGGTCATCTTCTGAGGCCCTTCTTCATGTGCCTCCTCCTTGAGAGGTCCGTAGGGTGTCAGCATGAGAACAGGCCTTTTCTGCAGTGTCTTCCCATCTGTGGAATGCTCTCCCCAGGAAAGTTCACCTGGTGCCTTCATTATACACCTTTGAGTGCCAGGCAAAAATGTTCCTTTTTAACCAGATCTTTGATTGATTTGATTGACATCTTATGCCCTTTTAGAATTTGGTTCTTTTGGGGTTTGTGTTATTGGGTTGTTTTTATTTTGATTATATATATTGTGGTTTTATATTTTGATTTTGTTCTGTGAACTGCCCTGAGACCTCTGGGTATAGAGTGGTATATAAATTCTAATGATGATGATGATATTTTCATGATCAACAAGACAATCAAATGCCTGTTTCTTTCCCCACCACATCAGTCAGAAGAAAACTAACTTGAGAGAGGCATTCCATTGCACTCTATGTTACTATGTATCATTCAGCCATTGAGCCCATTGCCCAGGAAATAAAGAAATTCCTCCATCATTTCTTCTTATTATACAGCTCAGGTGCACTTCCATAAAGGTTGTCCATGCAAAGGTCCCAGAACTGAAGCAGACAACCTGGTTTCAGGTGGCATGGGATGGTATTTGGCTGCGGGGGGTCCCAAAAGTCCCCCCACTTGCACCCTGGGACCTTGCAAACTTGAGATTTTACTCTATGCAAAATATTGTGTGTTGTGCTTTTCTCTGCTTGATGCTCAAAGCGTGCTGTGTGGAATATTTAGTATACGCTGGTTCAGTAGAAATCTAGATGATTGTCAGATATTTCCCTATAGCTCCTCTCCACCCTGTTATAAAAAAGGGTAAAGGTAAAGGACACTTGGTGGTTAAGTCCAGTCAAAGTGACCATGGGGTTGCAGTGCTCATCTCGCTTTCAGGCCAAGGGAGCCGGCGTTTCTCCACAGACAGCTTTCTGGGTCATGTGGCCAGTATGACTAAACCACTTTTGGCGCAATGGGACACCATGAAGGAAACCAGAGCACACAGAAATGCCGTTTACCTTCCTGCTGCAGTGGTACCTATTTATCTACTTGCACTGGCATGCTTTCAAACTGCTTCAGTGAAAACAGGGACTTCTTCTTCTTCTTCTTCTTCTTCTTCTTCTTCTTCTCCTCCTCCTTCCTCTTCCTCCCAGTTCTTTTTCTGAGGGTACTCAACGGTACACAGCACCAGCACCTTCCCTATACAGGACTCTCTTCAGATGGCTCATGGGTCGGATAACTCCATAGCCTCTCACATTTCTCCAATTAAAATAGGGACATCCTAAGGCAAAGCAGGACATTCCAAGATCAAATACGAAACCAGGATGGCTTCTGTAAATCTGGGACTGTCCATGGAAAATAGGGACACTTGGAGGGTCTTGTAGAGCCAACTTCATGAGTTCATCTGACACGGTGGACTCTAGTCCAGGAAAGCCTGTCTCACAACAGCAGCAACAGGAGCAGCAGCAGCAGCAGCACAACCCAAAGTGGGTGGAAGAGGGATAACCGAAGACACTGGCATGC